GGATGTCCTGTGTGTTCTAACAGTTTATAATCCAAGGAATCTCTGGCCAGAGTTGATAGTGGGGTGATTAGGGAAATGTGTTTCCCTAAGTCACACACGAACGGATTTATAATACCTAGAACGTTCGCACGGTCATTGAACTTTATAAGAGGTCTCGGTGAACCAATGCCTCTAGTTCAATCGGGACATGTGCTGCGAAGGGATCGTACTGTACGCTAACTATATCATAAGGTTCTTGAAGGCACTTCACTTGTATCTAGGGAATCATGATGCGTAGTTGCTAGGCGCCAATCTTGATTCGTTGGGCACCGATTTGATCGGCGATTAAGTAAAATGAGTTTTACTTTAATCGGGACTCTTGGGAGGAGTTCATATAAGAACAATGTGTTGTTCGAATCACAAAGAGTTGTGAGCCCACGGCTAGCATACACCTGAACCATTGAGGGTCACACTTCTCGTGTAATATAGATCCTTGATAACAACAAGCATATATTTATATGTTAATCTTTGAACGATTGGATGTCAATATGATTGAATCCAAGATTCGTAATTGTGGATTACGAATTGGAATGAACGTAGAGAAAGAGACATGCAGAATTTAGTGAACTTTCTAAATTGGGAAGTTTCCCGATTTAGCAGGTCCACTGAATTAGAAGTTTCCACTTTTGGAAATTAGAAATTTCGAAGAGACACTCGTATCGACGAGGACTTTGAGCTCGTCACAAATATAATTTTGTTATATTTTTGTGAAACGATCGTTTGTGAGAAACGAGGACGACAAGGCGATGGGCTTAATGGATCAGTGGGTCAGGCCCAATGACTTAAGCCTACTAGGGTTGAGAACCCTAGTATAAATAGACCTCAAAAGAAAGTTTGAGATAAGATTTTAACAAAAAAAAGCCCTAGCCGTCCAGCCCTAGCCGCCCAGCTCTCTCGGCCGCCGCTGCCCCGCCGCGCCGCCGCCGATCGTCGCCGTTTGTCGCCGGTGTTCTCCTCTCTTCTCCCTCGTTTATTCTTTGTTGTTTATCTAACTCATTTACATCTAGTGCTGTAGTTCGAGTGGGTCAAAATATACGAGGTGAAACCTGATTGGAGGAGAGGAAGACCGCTGCCCCGCCGCCGAAGTCGCACGCGCCGCCGTTACGCAGCACGCGCTTTTCGCGTGAGTCGCACGCGCTGCCACCGTGTCTGCCACGCGCCGCCGTCTGCCATCTGCTGGACCAGCTTGCTCCAGCCGTGAGTTGCTGCCCCAAGGATTGGTAATTCGCAGCTTGTACGTGTTCGGTTCTACATTTCGATTCGTCGAAATCCCACCCTTCAAGAGGTAAACCGAAATCTCTCGTAATATATTATAAATTTGGATTTATGATTTACTTGCGAGCATGTTGATGTTGTGAATTAATTGTTATCATGATTTATGAAATTGTGTGAACAAGCATGTTTTATATTTTTCGGTTTTACATGTTTTGATAAAAATCGATAATTACCATGTGTATGGCGGAAGCGTTAAGGTACGTTGACTATGTGATTAGTTTATGCATGTAATCGAAACTAGTTCGATCTAAAAATTTTAAATTCCGCTGCGTATACATGCATGATCCCCAACAGCCACGAGGTAAGTCTGGTCCGAGTTTTAGAGGACCCAAAACCGACCCGCGGGGAGGCGGGTCCGGGACGGGTACACTCGGGTCCACCCGGTTTCGGGTCAGCTCCGGGCCTGGTCCGGGTCCGGACCGGATTTTTAAATTTTGTTCAAAATGTGATGTATGGGATTCCAACTCGGGTTCCCAAACACATGAATAGCAGTCCACACCACTGAAACAAGATATATATTTGCGAAATTACTTGCAAGAAATATATATAACATAAACAAACAGTATAAAATAATTATAATAAATAATGTTAAATGGATTGTTAATTATCATATTCATAATTATTAAATAATTTTAATTAAATCATTAACAAATATAATATAATAAAAAAATTATAATAAATTGAAAGGACTTGAGATTAATCCATTTAAATCTTACGATTCGATTCTAATATTTAAATAAAATGTATATATAGAAAAATGACTAAATCTTATGATGTACAATTTAATTCTTACGATTTTTACAAATTAAACCAATTATTAATAGAGAAATTACATCATAATATTTTGATTATACTAGTCATATATAATGTTATTTTTAAAGTAAGAATATTAATTGAAATGAGATATAATCTATTTGTGTTAAAATAAACATCATTTATATTTTTAAATAATTATCTTATGAAAAATACTCAATAATATTAATAAGTTCTTGTCAACAATTGAGGTTAATCGATTTAAATTAAATGAAATGAGTTATCATCTATTTTTTTAAATAAACATCTTATTTTATTTTTCATTCGATTTTTTCACACTATCAATTTTAAAAACATAAGTGAATTTGTAATAAGTCAACGCATTTGTTTATATATTGAATTGATTCAATATTTTATATTTTTCAATAGTGGAGATTATATTGATATAGTAATTAATAATAGATGTTTTGAAGTATTGAACCGTGATTATATATATATATATATATATATATATATATATATATATATATATATATATATATATATATATATATATATATATATATATATATATATATATATATATATATATATATATATATATATATATATATATATATATATATATATTTAAGTTTGCATTTGCTAATAATTTAATTAAACTTATTTAATAATAATTAATATGAAAATTAATAATTTATTTAACATATTTATATGTCAATTAAATCATTTTACACCAGCGTTTTATAATATATATATATTTATTGCCAGTTTGTTTTATCGAACATTGTGTTTGGCCCAGTGGTAAGAAGTCTCATTCTTTCCAATTTTGCCCGTGTTCGAATCCAAACTGACTCTATAAATTAACATAACTATATTGTTAGTGACAGTACATTATTGTCAGTGACAGTACATTAGCTAAATCAACAAAATTATACTGTCGGTGACAGTACATTAGCGTAATTGTATTGTCGTTGACAGTAAGAAAATCAACATAATATTATTATTTTTTTTTTGTTATTTTATTTTTAATTTTGTTTGATTTGTTGACAAGTCAAAGTAATTATATTACTGTCGTTGACAGTAAAATAACTGTATACACAATAATATTACTATCAACCACATCAATATTATTATTTATTTTTTTGTTTAGTTTGAGTTATTCACGGAGTAACGTAATAATATTATTGTCTATTATTGTAATATTACTGTAAACACAATAATATTACTGTGGTTGACGGTAATATTACTGTCAACCACATCAATACTATTATTTAGTTTGGGTTTTTTTTGTTTTGTTTGAGTTATTCACGGAGTAACGTAATAATATTACTTTATATTATTGTAATATTACTGCGGTTGACGGTAATATTACTGTTGTTATAGTAATATTAGTCACTCACAGTAATATTAATTCTTTTCGTTTTTTATTATGTTTACATTTGTTGAACGGTCAACATATTAATATTACTCTATTACACAATAATAATGAGTTTTGTTGTATTAATATTACTGTACTAGAGATTAATATAGCAATATTACTGTGTTAAACTGCAGTATAGTTGATTTTACTGTGTGTAACATTAATATAGTTAATATTACTCTTAATCACAGCAATATTGTTGTTTGAACGAAAAAAAAGACATTAGAGAAAGAAAAAAAAGTTTAACGCCAGAAACTGGCGGAAAATCAGGAAGGGAAAAAAAAAAGTCAACGCCAAAGAGACTGGCGGTCAGTGGCGATTGACCGGGTCAAAGGCGGTGACGGACGAAACTGTCCATAAAAAAGTCTTTGTGGTCAAAATTGAATAATTTGTGAAATTTGGGGTCAAATTGAGGTTAGATTAAATTAAATGATGAAATTGGAGCATATTAAAGTATGAGGGGCTATTTTAGTCTTTTACAAACCTCTTGACCATGTGTGGACTTTTTTGTAAAGAAGTTTATTGTGAATAAGTTTATGAATAAGTACCCATTGATGGGCTTATTTGTAAAGACCCCTAAATTAAATGATGAAATTGGAGCATATTAAAATGTGAGGACTATTTTAGTCTTTTAAAAACCTCTAGACCATGTGTGGATTTTTTCGTAAAAGAGACTTTTGTCTGGACCCCTTTATGAATAAGTATTCGTTGATGGGCTTATTTAGGGGTGCAAGTTGGAATGGGATTTCCAATTTCCGCCAGTTCCGATCCAAAAAGTTCGAATTTTGGAACAACTTTTCTCACTCCGACTTCCGAAATTCCAATTTCCATATTCTTTCGGTCTTTTTGGATTGAAATAGGAATTATATAAAATAAATTTGGAATTTCCAAAATTCGATCCAATTTAATTCCGAAGAATTCTAATTTTTTTCTTTCGAAAAATACACCTATAAATACTATATATTAGATAATACTTATTTTCCGAAAAATACACCTATAAGTTTTGTTTTAGGATTTTGACAGAATGAATTGTTGTTAGAAGTTTTATTGGATATTATGCTATGTTTATTTTTATTTATTTTTTTGAACTGGAATTTAGTAGTTATTAGTTTTACTTTTATCGACATGGATGTTCTTATTTTTGAATATAAAATTTCGGCTAAGTTTCGAAATTTTAAAGCTTATGTGATTTCCGATTTTTTTCCGAAATTTTGAAATTTCCGGGCCTTTTGGAATTGGAATGAATTTTTAGATTCCAAATTTTTTCGGAAATTTTCGGAAAAGGCTAATTCCCATCCGATCTATCAGACTTTCACCCCTTGGCTTATTTGATATAAGAAATCATTTTGTTTATTTAAAATGAAATATTTAAAAAAAAAAATATTAGGGGTAATTTTGTCATTTCGTTTAAGTAAAAACCCAATTTTTTTTTTTTTTTTTTTGAGAAACAGTAAAAACCCAATTTTAATGTAAGAAGTTGTGTTGCTTTGTAAAACGTAACATAAGGGGGTTATTGATAATTTTTTTAACATTGAGGTTTTTTCGAGAATTAGGGATTACAGAGGGGTAATGTGCTAATAACTCCTCGGAATTTATCAGAGTTTTGTAAACCAGTCTTCAACATCTATGAATTTTATTATAAAAAAATTATTTAGCAAAGCTCCAAATCAGGGTTGTATTTGGGAGTTTGGGGGTTTCACAAAATCTGGTGGGGTTTTCTAATTAACCCTTTGATTTGATCCTCCAACACCGCCCACCACCAATCACAGACTTACTACTCGCATGATTCTGGATCTACTACAATGGAGCAGAATCCAAGACCGAGAAGCGTTCTCGAAGTATGTGGTGAAGAAATCATCAGAATCGTAACCCCAGTTTCAATATGTATGGTTTTGGTTGTAATTCTGGTTTCCATTCTGAATGGGGATTCCTCCTCAAATTTATCATCAATCACAACCATGGCCACCATAGCCTACACCGAAAGCAGCTCAGATTCCATATGGGACAAGCTCAAAGGCGCCCTTTTGAATTCACTCGTCTTTGTTGTTGTCGTCACATTGGTAACTTTCCTTTTAGTTCTTCTTTTCTACCTCAGATGCACCAAATTCTTGAAATACTACATGGGTTTCTCTTCTTTCCTTGTTTTGGGATTCATGGGTGGAGAAATCGCTATTTTCTTGGTCAAAGATTTCAACATTCCCGTTGACTGCATTACATTTGCAATTTTGTTGTTTAATTTCACGGTTGTGGGTGTTACGGCGGTGTTCATGTTGAAGATGGCTATTTTTGTGACACAAGCTTACTTGGTTGTGATTGGGGTGTTGGTTGCGTATTGGTTTACCCTTTTGCCCGAATGGACGACTTGGATGCTTTTGGTTGCAATGTCTTTGTATGATCTTGCTGCTGTTTTATTGCCCGGTGGGCCTTTGAGGCTCTTAGTAGAACTTGCTATGTCTAGGGATGAAGATATTCCTGCTCTTGTTTACGAGGCACGCCCCGTTATTATTGATATTCATAATAATAATAATAATGTTGATTCTACTACTCCCAATGCACAGAGAAGAGTATGGAGGAGGAGGGGTGATTTGGATGAAAATGAAGGAATTATTATTAGACATGATGATTCTTCGGAGCTTGCTGCTCCGCTTATTCAACATATAGATATCCCCCCGATGAATGGTAATGTGGAAGAAGATTCAAATCCAGTGCTTGAAGGAATTGGGTTGGGATCATCAGGTGCAATTAAGCTTGGATTGGGAGATTTCATATTTTACAGCGTATTAGTGGGCAGAGCTGCAATGTACGACTACATGACAGTGTATGCGTGCTACCTTGCTATCATAGCTGGTCTTGGTATAACTCTGATACTCCTTGCTTTTTATCGAAAGGCTTTGCCAGCTCTTCCTGTATCTGTCATGCTAGGTGTCTTGTTTTATTTGTTGACTCGCCTTTTACTTGAAGTTTTTGTCGTACAATGTTCTGTCACCCTATTGATGTTTTAGAACCTAATTAATATATATATATATATATATATATATATATATATTTATTTCTGTTGATGTTGATTACAAGTGTTTTCTTGTCTCAGACGGTTGTAACATTGTTTGTCACACATAAACTGAAAAAAAAGGCGCCATCGCCATCATTATTTGTTTCTCCTTGAAGGTATTGGTGTATTCTGTAGCTTCATTTTGGTAATTTATCAGTTTCTTCCTCCACTTCAAAAAACTCTCATGAAAAAAAGGAAAGGGAAATTCCATAAACATTTTTTTTTCTGTTTTTGATGAGAGCAAAAGGATGTCGCTATTTTCTGTGTTTGTATCCAACGTTTCCGGTAGTTTTCTGCTCCAGTCAGAATTCCATCTCTTCGAACCATTTTCTGCACATGTTTAATCAAACTCGTTTTTTTTTTTAGGTTCATCTAGCAGCTTTCCTATATAGAATGATATATATATACTAGTAACCATAACCCGTGCGTTGCACGGTACCATTATAAAACAAAAGATATTTAAAACTTAATATGTTGAATGTAACGAAATTAAATAATTGAGAATCACACCATAAGAAAATCGTAAAAAAGATGGATAAATAATATCGAGAACTTTATTAATGCAATTAACAATAGTTTACACGATTGACAAATCAAACCTACGGCTTTATTATAATGGAATAGAATAAATATTTCCATAAGGCAAGTCTTCATAGAAGCATTATGTGCTTTACCAGTCGATCTATCAACTAAAATCACCACACAATTGAATCAATCAAATAAGAATTATTAACTATCGGGACTAAATCCACATCCAAATTCAGGTTGGAGTTCGGGTCCAGACTATTGCTCGAAGAGAAATTAGACGAATTCCAGTTTCATCTTGCCATCGCCATCTATTAATTCTCCCCTTAGATTCTCTAATTGATAATTCAAATCTGCCAGCCCCGATTGCAAAACCTGGAACATCAGATTCTAGACAGCACAGAACAATTACGTACTCTTCATCTTTGCTTCCATAATTTATCCAAGGTTGACAGAACCTACCAAAGCAAGATTGAAATTGAATATAGTATAGTCCTTAAATATATATGTTGGGTTTCGGGCACGCATACGCAGCGGAAAACAAAAATTTATGTGATTCAAAACGATTTCAAAACACATAAGAACATGCCCGATAAAATAAATTCAATTAATTGCGTACCTTTGCGCTTCCAGCGAAATTAAAAACAATTTACATGCTAATAATTTCAACCGAATTTAAAACAATTAACATGCTCGCGTTTAAACTAAATAACATGCTTGCAATGATTTAAAACCGATTACACATAATCGCATAAAATCATACAAAACAAACATGAAATCATAGTTTAAACAAAACTCAAAAACGAAACTAGGGTTTCGTGTATTTACCTCTTGAAGCGTGAGGTAGGGGCGATTAGCACGTCGTGATTACTACGGAAACCAATCCGTAGAATCGGGGCAGCAATTGAGCAGCAGCAGCGGCGGTGTACGGCCACGGCGGCGCGTGAGCTTCACGCGCGGACTTCCGGGGCGGCGCGTGGGGCAGCGTGCGGCTTCGGCTCGTGCGTTGCTCCTCGGTTCTTCGATCTACGATCTTCCTCCTCTCGGATTTCACCTCGTATACTTCGATCTACTAAAACGTGGCACTAGACACGAAGTAGTTAGAATTAACGGAAGAAAAAGAAAGGAGAAAAGAATACCGAAATGGATCGGCCAAGGGATGGCCGATTCCGGCGACGGGGCGGCGCCAACGGCGGAGGTGGCCGCGCGGGAGAGGGGGCGAGAGAGAGAGGTGGACGGCCGCTAGGGTTAGGGTTTGTTGTATTTTTGTGTGCAAGGTCTATAAATCATGTATTTATAGTCCCTTGCATAAAACCCTAGCGGGCTTAAGTTGGACTGGGCCCAACAGCTTAAGCTCGTTAGTTCCTTTGCTTGCTCGTCTCTCTCAATTCAATGACCGAAAAATTTCAACGATTGCATTTTCGGAATCATTATAACTTCCTCGTCATTACGAGTGCCATCTCTTATTTTCCAACTTTCCAAAAGTGGAAACCCTAGTTCAGTGGACTTTCTAAATTTGGAAACTTCCCGATTTAGAAAGTTCACTAACACGTTCGCCTATTCTTTTCCTTTTCTGATTCTCATTCATAATTCCAAATTACGAATGTTGGACTCAATCATATTGACTTCCAATCATGCAAAGACAAACTATTTTATCTCTGACCGTTCATTCAAAGATCTCATGTGCACGAGCAGTGTGACCCTCGATGGTTCAGGTGTAAGCTAGCCGTGGGCCCACAACCCTTTGTGGTCAAAACTCGTCCCCTTCGAGTTACGATTAAGATGAAGCTCGTTTCACCTTAATCACCCAACGAATCAAGATTGGCGTCTAGCAACTACGCGTCATGATTCCCTAGATACAAATGAAGTGCCTGCAAGAACCTTCAGATATAGTTAACGTACAGTACGGTCCCTTCGATTCATATGTCCCGATCGAACTAGAGGCATTGGTTCATCGAGACCTCTTTATATGTTCGATGACGGTGCGATCGTTCCAAGTGTTGTAATCCTTACGTGCATGACTTAGAGAATCGAATTCTCTAATCATCACTCAGTCAGCTCTGGCTAGAGACTTAGAATGATTACAAACTTTCAGAACACACAGGACATCCAAGACTATTCTAGCGATCGAATCCCCGACTACAATGCACAGACCTCCCACTAGATTTCGGACTGCACGAACACTGGCCCTTGGGATGGTCCTCGGTGGAACTCAGGGACAGGTCACGATACAGCTGGTCCTCTAGTGAAGTCACGGTGATGTCTAGGTCATAAGGACTAATGGTACAACTATACCATAGATATCTCTACTCGATTATTGGGAACCACTTACAGATTTCTAGGGTGAGGGAGTTCAGTGAACTCGTCAACTTACGAGCACCCACTTATGCATGCCGATATCACAATACCGTTTACTGATGAGATGCAGTACACATACACTAAGTGCTAGTCTTAATGGGAAAGGCCGATATCCTCATTCGTGGCGTAACCCTTCGACTAGGAACACGTTTAACAGTTATAATACTTAAGTAAATATCTCACGATCCTAACGATCAATTACTAGTACTTGTAATAACTGTAAGGACTATATCTATGCTTGTGACAAAGGGACAAAGATATAGAATGCCAAGGTGTTTTATCATTAATACGAATAAATGTTCGTTTATTACCATAATAAATACGAAAGACCACAGCCAAAAGTTGGCTTGTTGGTCACCTACTCTAACAATATATTCATCATATTTAGTGAAAAAAAAGAAGAAAAAAACCCTTAAATACTCACTCTTTTTTGTCTGATGAGAAAGCTTCTTTCGTCACGTAATCCTAGCCCTTGACATCACTTGCTTTTCAAAATTTCAATCACCAAAGCTGCGGAGTCATATAGAAACTTGTGCACATCAGGGAGCCTCTATATTTTTGATCATCTCATTTATCGTAGTTCTTAATTTAGAGGAAACATTCCTCGTCATTTCCGTCTCATATTCTTCATCATGTGTCTACAACAAACAAATGGAGGTTAAAAGGCGTTGTATGAATTTCTAGCAGAAAACGGATGAAAAAATTCAAATATTCATATATATTCCTAAATCGTTGTATAAGACCATCATCATCATCTGATATCCTTTTGACAGTGATAACCTGCCAACACGCTGAATTCTGCTTTGAATAGAATGTCTCTACCAAAAAATGCATAGTCGCGTCGTCTATTCTCCAAATTTGTGACAAATGTCAAATACGATAATATCATTAAGAAATACATCGAATTCAAGAATTTGTTTACAATTATCTTTAATTACATTTAACGAAATTACCAATTTCTGTAGACTTGGTACCGGTGTATCAATTTGTTTTGGAAATCAATTACCAAAATTTAGTCTAAAGCGAAGAAAAAAATAACATATATTGGAAAAAAGAAAAAAACACATGTAATATATAAAAAACGGAAACCAAGTAATACATCCAATCGTTAACAATAACAACACCAAACAGATTGATGAAAATTTGATGTCACACAATTGTAAAAACAAATGGAATACAAATATATAATCATAATTCCGAAATACAAAACATAACTGCCCGATTTACTTCTCAAGAGAGATCCGGCTTGTCTTTGTCTTATCTCTGTTGTTTGCCTTTTTCCTCTGATTCGAATTTACTAAGCAAATTTTGTATGTGTACATATATATCTATCTATATCTATATATATATTATATATATATATATATATATATATATATATATATATATATATATATATATATATATGTATATATATATATATGGGTAAATGGCAAATTGCCACATGACAATTACACTTAATTAAAAGAGGGACATTCAACTTTTTTGTCTTTCAAATAAATCCAGCTCATTCAAACTTATTTGCAAATAAGGAAAATCCCTTTATATATACCAAAATTACCCCAATTCATTAAAACTCAATTCAACTCCAATTTCATTATTTAAACCCCAATTTAGCTCAATTTCATCAATTAACCAATTTTAACCCTAATTTCAATTTTGACCCCAATTTTGACCCCGCCACCACCGGAGACCGCCGGTCGTCGCCGTTGCCCGGCGTTGACTTTTTTTTTTTTTTTTTTTCTGAATTTTTTTTCTCCCCATAATTTTTTTTCCGGCCGGTCAACTGCCGTTGACCGCAGTTTCCGGCGTTGATTTTTTTATCTTAATTTTGGTTTTTCTTAAAAAAAGTATTTTAATTAATATTACTATCATGGCTGCTAAATTACTGTCTCCGGCAGTTATTTAACTGTCGGAGACAGTAATTTAACTGTAAATTGACTTTTTTTTTTCTTCAAAAATATTTTAATTAATATTATTGTCTTTGCTACTAAATTACTGTCTCCAGCAGTTATTTAACTTCGGAGACAGCAATATAACTGTTAATTGATTTTTTTGAAAAATATTTTAATTAATATTACTGTATTCGTTGCTAAATTACTGTCTCCAACAGTTATTTAACTGTCGGAGACAGTAATTTAACTGTTAATTGACTTTTTTATTCTTAAAAAAATATTTTTAATTAATATTACTGTATTCGTTGCTAAATTACTGTTTCCTGCTGTTATTTAA